GCTGAGGAGGGAGCCCCGCTTCCCCAGCAAAGACAGCGATGGTCACACCGCTGGGCGTGGGCTCCCCCGCACAGAGGCTTCGTGCCAGCCCCTCCTCGGTGAGCAGGCCTGTGGCAGGCAGGACCGCCAGGTGGCAGTTGGACAAGGAGCAGGACTGGCCTCCGACAGCCCCGTGTGGGAGGCCGAGACCCCGGGTCCTGCAGGGCTTCCCCGGGACACCTCGGCATGAGGGAACCCTGTCTTCTAACGCCTGTGCCCACCTGTCCCTCCCCAGCGCCATCTGCTGCATCCTGGAAATATGGATGGATTATTATCGGCAGGACTTGTGTCAGCTCCGAGAATTTGCCTCCCTGAAGAAGATTCTGGAATTCCTAAGGCAGCGCATGCCAGGCACAAACGTGGAACTCCGTGCCCGACGTTACCTCCAACAACTCAGACGCCTTCATGCAGTGGAGCCAGAGGCTGGGGGTGAGGAGTCCTGGGGATGGCCGAGCTGGGCACAAGGTGGGCCCCATGGATCCAGTGTCCGTGCAGCTGGGCCGGGAGCAGGGTTTAGGCTCACACCCCATCCGCACGAGCTGCAGGCTGGGGACACCTCCTAGGGCTCTTGCCCCCCCCCCACACACACATTGAGCAGTGGGAAGAGTGTCCTTGATTTGGGAGGGACGTGGAAATTCCGTCCTGATGGTGATACTTTGTCTTCTTGGAGCTACAGCTTTGGCACGAGCAAAAGACCCTAAGCCACTTCAGCAGCCCGCCCCAGCTCCAACTCCGGGGCCTACTGCCTCGGTAGGGCCTGAAGTGATCGAGGACATCCTGGCAGCTGGGGCTGAGGGCTTGGCCCCAGCTGAGGTGCCAGCTGGGGAGGCGAAGCCCCTGCAGATAGTCGTCACTGCTCTAGTTCCCTGCTGCACCCTGGACGAGCCACCTGCACCCGCGGCCACCCGGGAGGAGGAGCAGGCCCCGGCACCTACAAGCGGGGTCCCCAGAATGCCAGAGCCGCCACTTGCCTCTGGAACAACTGGCTTCCATCCCTGAGCAGCCCCCTGACCACCTGGGGAGCCCACCCCAGCTCCCACCGCGGGGCTCGTGATGGCTGCAGCCCAACGGAGTCTTGCCCTCCCCTGTCATTTGACTCTTTCTATATTTTGAGTTTTTCTTTAACCTGTATAATGGCTTATGAGTTTTATCATAATAAAGTATAAGTTAACTTCAAACAAAATTCACTCTGATGCTTTTAAATTATACATCGTGGACCTACACTTTAGGTCCATTCACAGTGTCACAGGCCACAGAGCCCAGGGCACCGGGGGACACAGCCCAGGATCGGGTGCTCCCCCGGGCCATGCAGAGGCCGGGAGGACACAGGACAGCCAGGTGGCTCCTGCCGTCGGGCGGCCCGAGCTGTACAGATCGGCGGGCCCGCCCCTGGAGCATCCAGGCCCCTGTGCACTAGGAGCTGTGGTAGTCACTGCGGGAGCTGACTCCAGGGCTGCACAGCTTCCGCCCCCACTGTTGTTGTCCCTCCTGGTGTCACCCTGTACCTGGGACTGAGCAGGGGCCTCACAGATAAACAACTCCCACTGAGCCATACACCTGGCAGGGGCCTGGGCAGCTCCCCAGGTACACACACCTGGGAATCAGCACAGCAGGCCCCTCCCCCAGAAGACCAGCTAGAAGGTCAGGGGAAATGCAAGGTTTTGACCAGGCAGCACTGGAAAGTTCCAGGGGAAGTCGAAGGATTTACAGTATATAGAATCAGAGGATACTCCCCCTTGTTTTTTTCTTCTCTGTTTGTTTCTGTTGTTTCCCCACCCCCTTTTTTATTCTTTTTTATTTCTTCTTTTAATTCTCTCTCTCTCTCTCTCTCTCTCTCTCTCTCTCTTTCTCATTATTCCAGTACAACATGTCTTTGGCCACTCCGCACTGAGTAAAATGGCTAGAAGGAAAAACTGACCTCAAAAGAAAGAAATCAGAAACAGTCCTCTGTCCCACAGAGTTACAACATTTAGATTACAATTCAATGTCAGAGAGCCAATTCAGAAGAACAATTATAAAGCAACTGGTGGCTCTAGAAAAAAGCATAAAGGACTCAAGAGACCTCATGACTGCAGAATTTAGATCTAATCAGGCCAAAATTAAAAATCAGTTAAATGGGATGCAATCCAAACTGGAGGTCCTATTGACCAGGATTAACGAGGTAGAAGAACGAGTGAGTGACGCAGAAGACAAGTTGATGGCAAGGGCGGAAACTGAGGGAAGAAAAGAAAGACAATTAAGAGACCATGAGGATAGGTTAAGGGAAATAAATGACAGCCTCACAAGGAAAAATCTACGTTTAATTGGGGTTCCCGAGGGCGCCAAAAGGGACAAGGTCCAGATTATGTATTTGAACAAGTCATAGCTGAAAACTTTCCTAACTTGGGAAGGGAAACAGGCATTTAGATCCAGGAGACAGAGAGATCCCTCCCCTTCCCCCCCCCCACCTAAAATCCATAAAGACCGCTCAACATTTAACATTGAATTTAATACTGAAACTTGCAAATTCCAAAGATAAAGAGAAGATCCTTAAAGCAGCAGGAGACAAGAAATCACTAACTTTTTGGGGAGAAGCATTAGGACAACAGCAGAACTCTCTCAACAGAGACCTGGGAGGTGAGAAAGGGCCGGCAGGATATAGTCAGGGTCCTAAATAAGAGGAACCTGCAGCCAAGAATACTTTATCCAGCAAGGCTCTCATTCAGAATAGAAGGAGACATAAAGAGCTTCCAAGATAGGCAGAAACTGAAAGGATATGTGACCACCAAGCCGGCTCTGCCAGAAATGTTAAGGGGGACCCTGTAAAAGAAAGAGGAAGTCCAAGGAGACAATCCACAAACACAGGGACTGAATAGGTATCATATTCAGGTATCATAAATCCATATCTTTCAATAGTAACTCTGAACGTGAACGGGCTTAATGACCCCATCCAAAGGCGCAGGGTTTCAGACTGGATAAAAAAAGCAAGGCCCATCTATTTGCTGTCTCCAAGAGACTCACTTTAGACCTCAGGACACCTACAGCCTGAAAATAAAAGGTTGCAGAACTGTGTACCATTCAAATGGTCCTCAAAAAAAGCAGGGGCAGCCATCCTTATATCAGATAAATTAAAGTTTGTCCCAAAGACTGTAGTGAGAGGTGAAGAGGGACACTATATCATACTTAAAGGATCTATCCAACAAGAGGACCTAACAATCATGAATATTTATGGCCCGGATGCGTGAGCCACCAAGCAGATCAATCAATTAATGACCAAAGTTAAGACACACTTAGATAATAATACACTTCTACTTGGTGACTTCAATGTAGCGCTTTCTGCAATCGACAGGCCTTTCAAGCACAACATCTCCAAAGAAACAGGAGCTTTAAATGATACCCTGGACCAGATGGATTTCACAGATATTTACAGAACTTTACATCCAAACGCAACTGAATACACATTCTTCTCAAGTGCACATGGGGCTTTCTCCAGAAGAGACCACAAACTGGGTCACAAATCGGGTCTGAACAGATACCAAAAGATTGGGATCGTCCCCTTCATATTCTCAGACCATAACGTCTTGAAATTAGAACTAAATCACAACAAGGAGTTTGGAAGGACATCAAACACGTGGAGGTTAAGGACCATCCTGCCAAAAGGTGAAAGGATTAACTATGAAATTAGAGAAGAATTAAAAAGATTCATGGAAACTAATGAGACTGAAGACACCACCATTCAAAATCTTTGGGATACAGCAAAAGCAGGCCTGAGGGGGAAATTCATCGCAATACAAGCATCCATCCAGAAACTGGAAAGAACTCAAATACAAAAGCTAACCTTGCACCTAAGGGAGCTGAAGAAAAAATAGCAAATAGATCCTACACCCAGCAGAAGAAGAGGGTTAAAAAAGACTCCAGAAGAACTCAATGGAATAGAGACCAGAAGAACTGTGGAACACATCCACAAAACCAGGGTTTGGTTCTTTGAAAGAATTAATAAGATAGATAAACCACTAGCCAGCCTTATTTAAAAGAACACAGAAAACACTCAAATTAATAAAATGATGAATGAAAAAGGACAGATCACTACTAACACCAAAGACAGGACCTAGAGTGTATTCTATATGTTGAGCAAAGTCAGTCATTGAAAGTACCAGATGATTTCACTCATGTGTGGAATTAAAACAACAACAACAACAACATCAACAACAAGAAACGAATATAGGGCAAGGAAGGAAAAGAGTGGGAGGTATACTATAAGAGATTCTTTAGTACAGAGAACAACAGGCTTGCTGGAGGGAAGCAGGGCATGGGATTGGCGTGGTGATTGGCACTGAGGAGGGCACTTGTTGTGATGAGCACTGGGTGTTATAGGTAAGTGATGAATCAGTAAATACTAGTCTTGAACCAATATTACAGTGTATGTTAACTAACTAGAATTTAAGTAAAAACTTGAAAAACATAAGGAAAGAACACTCATGGAATGGTAAAGCTTGCAGGGACCACGGTAGTCCAGTAGCAAGCACCTTGTGCATTAAAAGATGAGGAAGGGGCGCCTGGATGGCACAGTCAGTTATGTGACCAACTGTTGGTTTCAGCTTGGATCCTGATCTCAGGGTCATGAGGTCGAGTCCCACATCGGGCTCCGTGCTCCATCTGGAGCGTGTTCTCCCTCTCTCTCTAATTCCCACTTGTGCTCTCTCTCCCTCTCTCTGATTTATATGTATATGAATCTTAAAAAAAAATAAGATGAGAAAAATAAATCACATTTTCAGACACAGTGCAGACCCTGGAGCTACAAAGCCTCACCTATACCACACACACTACCCTGCCTGCCTCATCTTTCCTCAATCTCCCTTTTCTGCTCTCTCTTCCTCCCTTTTCTTTCCTAGACACCATATGCTTAGTGAGGCCAGCAGGACCAAGAGCTAAAAATGTCCTGGGTGTGGCCCTTCCTTAAGGCTTTCATCAAAGGCACTTACCTTGAAGTTGAAGCCATAATGAGCCAGGAACAGAGACTTGTCTATATGTTCAGAGTCAAAGAACCTGTAAGACAGCAAAAGTCGATTTTTAAAAATTGCATGCTAGGCAGCCCGGTTGGCTCAGTGGTTTGGTGACTGCCTTCGGCCCAGGGTGTGATCCTGGAGACCCAGATAGGGATAGAGGGAACATTCCTCAGCATCTTAAAAGCCATCTATGAAAAGCCCACAGCAAATATCATTCTCAATGGGGAAACACTGGGATCCTTTCCCCTAAGATCAGGAACAAGACAGGGATGTCCACTCTCACCACTGCTATTCAACATATTACTAGAAGTCCTAGCCTCAGCAATCAGGCAACAAAAAGAATTAAAATGCATTCAAATTGGCAAAAAAGAAGTCAAACTCTTCCTCTTTGTAGATGACATGGTACTGTACAGAGAAAACCCAAAAGACTCCACCCCAAGATTGCTAGAACTCATACAGCAATTTTGCAGTGTGGCAGGATACAATAATCAATGCCTAGAAGTAGTGGCATTTCTGTACACTAACGACGAGACTGAAGAAAGAGAAATCAAGGAGTCAATCCCATTTACAATTGCACCCAAAAGCATAAGATACCTAGGAATCAACCTAACCAAAGAGGTAAGGGATCTATACCCGAAAAACTACAGAACACTTCTGAAAGAAATTGAGCAAGACACAAAGAGATGGAAAAATATTCCATGTTCATGGATTGGAAGAATTAATATTGTGAAAATGTCCATGTTCCCCAGGTCAAGTTACACGTTCAATGCAATCCCTATCAAAATACTATGGACTATCTTCAGAGAGTTGGAACAAATCATCTTAAGATTTGTGTGGAATCAGAAAAGACCCCGAATAGCCAGGGGAATATTGAAAAAGAAAACCTTAGCTGGCGGCATCACAATGCCAGATTTCAGGTTGTACTACAAATCCGTGGTTATCAAGACAGTGTTGTACTGGCACAAACCAGATACGTAGATCAATGGAACAGAATAGAGAATTCAAAAGTGGACCCTCAACTCTATGGTCAACTAAATTTCGACAAAGCAAGAAACACTATCCAGTGGAAAATGGACAGTCTCTTCAATAAATGGTGCTGGGAAAATTGGACAGCCTCGTGCAGGAGAATTGAACTAGACCATTCTCTAACACCATACACAAAGATAAACTCAAAATGGATGAAGGATCTAAATGTGAGACAAGATTCCATCAAAATCCTAGAGGAGACACAGGTAATACCCTTTTTGAACTTGGCCACAGCAACTTCTTGCAAGATACATCTATGATCCCAAGGGAAACAAAAGCAAAAATGAACTATTGGGACTTAATCCAGATAAAAGGCTTCCGCACAGCAAAAGAAACAGTCAACAAAACTAAAAGACAACCTACAGAATGGGAGAAGATATTTGCAAATGACATATCAGATCAAGGGTAGTATCCAAGATCTATGAAGAACTTATTAAACTCAACAGCATGGAAACAAACAATCCAATCATTAAATGGGCAAAAGTCTTGAACAGAAATTTCACCAAAAAAGACATACACATGGCCAACAAGCACATGAGAAAATGCTCTGCATCACTTGCCATAAGGGAAATACAAATCAAAACCACAAATGAGATACCACCTCACACCAGTGAGAATGGGGAAAATTAACAAGACAGGAAACCACAAATGTTGGAGAGGATGCGGAGAAAGGGGAACCCTCTTGCACTGTTGGTGGGAATGGGAATTGGTGTAGCCACTCTGGAGAACTGTGTGGAGGTTCCTCAAAGAGTTAAAATTAGAACTACCCCACCACCCAGCATTGCACTGCTGTGGATTTACCCCAAAGATACAGATGCAGTGAAACAGCAGGGCACCTGCACCCCAATGTTTATAGCAGCAATATCCACAATAGCCAAACTGTGGAAGGAGCCTCGGTGCCCATCGAAAGATGAATGGATAAAGAAGCTGTGGTCTATGTATACAATGGAATATTACTCAGCCATCAGAAATGACAAATACCTACTATTTGCTTCAACGTGGATGGAACTGGAGGGTATTATGCTGAGTGAAGTAAGTCAATTGGAGAAGGACAATCATTATATGTTCTCATTCATTTGGGGAATATAAATAATAGTGAAAGGGATTAAAGGGGAAAGGAGAGAAAATGAGTGGGAAATAGAGAGGGAGACAGAACATGAGAGACTCCTCTACCTCTGGGAAATGAACAAGGGGTGGTGGAAAGGGAGGTGGGTGGTGGGTTGGGATGAGTGGGTGACAGGCACTGGGGGGGGCATTTGACGGGATGAGCACTGGGTGTTATGCTACATATTGGCAAATTGAACTCCAATAAAAAATATACATACATACATACATACATACATACATACATACAATCATACTCAATGAAAAGCTGTAAAATTTTCTTCTAAGATTAGGAACAAGATAAAGATGTTCAGTCTCACATTTATTCAATATGGTAATCAAGTCCTAGACAGAGTCATCAGGTAAGAAAAAAAAACGGAAAGCATTAAAATTAGAAAACAAGTAAAACTGTCACTATTTTCAGATGACATGATACTATACACAGAAAACCCTACAGTCTTTAAAAAACTTTTAGAATGAATAAATAAAATCAATTTATTAAAAACTTATTAGAACTATTTTAAGAACTTTAGATCTAATACATGAATTCAATAAAGTAGAAGGTTACAAAATCATACAGAAATCCACTATGTTTCAATACTCTAGGAACAATGTAACAGAGAAATCAAGAAAGCAATCTCACTTACAATTGCATCAAAAAGAAGAAAATATCTCATAATAAGTTTAACCAAGGAGATGAAATTTATAAGAAACCAATGAAAGAAACCAAAGAACAAATAAATGAAAAGATATTCAATGCTCATGTAATGAAAGAATTAATATTTTTTAAAAGCTCATTCTACCTACCTAAAGCAATCTACTGCTTTAATGCAATCCCCATCAAAATGCCAGTGGTACTTTTCAGAGAACTAAGACAAAGAAACCAAAATTTGTATGGAACATCAGAAAACTGAATAGCTAAAGTGACCTTGAAACAGAAGAACAAAGCTGGAGGTATCATGCTCCCTGATTTCAAACTATACTACCAAACTATAACAATCAAAATAGTATCGTATTGGCTTAAAAACAGAGCAATGGAACTGGGCTGAGACCCCAGAATTAAACCCACATTTATGACAAAAGAGCCAGTAATGTACAATAAAGAAAGGATAGTCTCTTTGACAAATGGTACTGTAAACTGGACAGTCACCTGCAAAAGAATGAAACAACCACTTTCTTACACCATCAACAAAAATTAAGACAAAATGGATTAAAACTGTGAATGTAAGACTCAAAATTATAAAATTGCTAGAAGAAAACATTTGGTAAGCATTTGATATTAGTCTTAGGGATCTTTTGTGGATCTAACTCTAAAGGCAAAGGGACAAAAGAAAGAATAAACAGAACTATGGCAAAAAAAAAAAAATTCTGCACAGCAAAGGAAACCATCATCAGAACAAAGGCCAAGCAACTGGATGGGAGATAGTTTTTGCAATTCACATATCTGACAAAAAATTAATATTCAAACTATATCAGGAACTCATACAACTCTGCAACAAGAAAAAGTAATCCAATTTAAAAATGAGCTGAGGATCTGAATAGACATTTATCTAAAAAAGACATACAGATTTCCAATAGGCACATGAAAATATTCTAAACATCACTAATGATCAGGGAAATGTAAGTCAAAAATACAGCAAGATATCACTTCACACTCGTTTGAAAGGCTAGTGTCAAAAAGACAAGAAATAAGTGTTGGAGAAGATGTAGAGAAAAAGGAACACTTGACGCTATTGGTGGGAATGTAAACTGGTGCAATTCTGTGGAAAACAGTATGGAGCTTTCTTAATAATTAAGAGTAGAACTATTGTATAATCCAAAGAGGGGAATGGGGGGCACTTGATGGGATGAGCACTGGGTGTTATTCTGTATGTTGGCAAATTGAACACCAATAAAAAATAAATTTATTATTTAAAAAAATCCAAAGAGGTTATTTATCCAAAGAAGACAAAATGCTGATAGAAAAAGGTATATGCACTTCTATGCTCACTGCAGCATTATTTACAATAGCCAAGGTATGGAAACAAACTAAATGTCCATTAAATAGATGAATGGATAAATATATATTATATATGTTATACATATATATGATGAAATACTACTTGGCCATAAAAAAGAAAGAAAGCTTTCTATTTGTGACAACATGGATGGAATTTGTAAGTATTATGCTAAATGAAATAAGCATAATGGAGAAGCATCTTTCAGATGGAAAAAGACAAATCCCATACATATGATCTAACTCATATCTGGAATCTAAAAAACAACAAAATAAATGAAGAAACAGAATAAAAACAAACTCATAGATACAGAGAATAGACTGGTGGTTACCAGAAGGAAAGGAGGCAGGGTGGGGGTGTGAATGGAACGGGAAGAGGGTCAATTATATGGTGATTGGTAGCAATTAAGCTTTCATAACTTTGTAGTGCATACAAATGTTAAATTATATTGTTGTATACCTGAAACATATTACATACCAATTTTATATCAATAAAAATAATAATGCAATATTTATTTGAAAGCTATTCATTAAAAATAATTTCTACCAAAAAAGTAGACATAGACACCAGATCCTTAGAAAGTTAACTCTTAAAAAGAAGATACTATTTCCTGGAAGTATGCCATTTCCAGGATAGATTTTATTCATTTATTTTTAAAGATATATTTATTTATTTTGGAGAGAAAGAGAACAGGAGCATGCAGGATCATGCAGCTGGCATGGGGAGTAGAGAGGATCTCAAGCATGGAGCCCCACTTGGGGTTCAATCCCATGACCCTGAGATCATGACCTGAGCCAAAATCAAGAGTTGGATGCTTAACCAATTGAGCCATCCAGGCCCTCTGAGGATAGACCTTAATATCTACTATTCTACCTTTTGAGCATATGTTCAATTAATTCTAACTGTATTGAATTAAAATT